ACTTTGCATTACTAAAGTTGACAAAGGTGACTGAAAGGTAACTGGAAAAAATGTGCATGGTGATGAGCCGGGGCAGTGGCTCACACCCATACTTTCAGCTGCTCAGGAGGTGAAGGCCAGGGTGTGGGGATCGCCTGTAGCCAGGGTATTGAGACCAGCCTGGGCAACACAGGAAAATAATGAAAACTAGCCGGGTGCGGGGTGTGCATCTGTAGTCCCAGCTATTCGGCAGGCTGAGGCAGGAAGATCACTGAGTCCAGAAGGTCGAGGCTGCAGCGAGCCATGATCGCACCTGCACTCTAGGCTGGAGACAAAGTGAGAGGCCACCTCAAAAATAAAAGGAGCATCTGGAGGCAGATTGGCCAGCTGTTGTCCATAGCTATCCAGAACCACTAAAAAATTGGCCAACAGCAAAGTGAGCTGTTTCATGTTAAATGTAAGCATTTCTTTCTTATAGAGCTTGGTTACCAAGGTAACCAATGATCTCTTTGTTCTAATTATTGAAATAGTAACATACAACTCTCTTCATTGGCCCAGAATAATAACACTGGGAAGCATCTGTTAATTGGTAGAAGGGGTGTGTGGGGTGTCTCCGTGGCTGTGCCTGGTGACATCTGTCATTCTTTCTGTAGGGCCTTGAGGGATTGAATGTTTCAAAGATGCCAGGTCACAGAGAAGGTCCTCAATGATGCGGCAGCACTGTGGGTGGTGTGGAATATCGTTAACAACTTCCATGCATATCATAAGCTGAGCCAGGGCTGTCCCCAGGACTCCAGAGTGAGCTGACCAGAGTGAGCTGACCAGTGTCAGCACCCGTGAAGCGTCCCAGGTTCTCCCACTTTCCTTCCAGGACAGCCTCCCTGCCTCCTGGCTGCTGGCAGAAGACACAGACTCCTGGGTGACAAAAGGGATTTTACTCACAGTAATAGGGGTAGCCAGACAGTCAGCATTTGTTTGAACATTTGAGCCCCCATCCCCAAAGCTCCACACAAACTGGGCCAGGGGATGCCTGCAAAGTGGGTGGTGTGGTGGGGCAGGGGCTGAGCTTGGGGAGCGGAATTTCAGCTGCTCAGAAGGCCAAGGCAGCGGGATCACTGGAAATTCACCTACCCAGCCTTTGCTACAAAGGGCGACAGTGTCTTGATTACACTGACCAGTAAGCAAGCATCCCCTTCACACTGGAGAAAGAGGCCATCTCCATCTCCCCCTGCTGCGCTCTGTACAAATAGCCCAACAAGAGCATCTGGAGGACAAGCAGAAATGCCAGGGGCCCACGCAGAGCGACTCCCAATGCTCTGTGGCCGGTTAACTGAGAATCAAAGTAGAAGGCAGAGCTGAAAAGAAAGAAATTCAATCAACTCACCCCAGGGACGAGGAGCCAGGCCTGGAGAATGTGACTGGCTGGCCCAGGACAGGCAGCGCCAGAGGCAGAGCTCGTCTGAGTGGGGGCCCAGGCTGCCTCCGTCCCAGCGTGCGCGTGCACAGCACACTTACAGGTGCAAGCCTTTGCTCATGCTTAAGGGAGAGCACTCTATTCACTCCAACAGGGAGCCCAGCGTCTGGGTAAAACTCACCTGGTAAAGCGCTGCCAGTAGTTGAGACAATCCATCGTAGTGGGAATGCACTTTGTATAATTTGATAGTTAAAAAAACAGCCCTCCCCTCACCCACTCTATTTCAAAATCTATCCGAGCAATATGGCCCCTACAAGCAAAGAAACGAGCAGAAAGAACAGTAAAGCAATGTCCTACCATTCCCTCTGGGCCGCATTCAGGAAGTCACTATCTCTTTAACTTTTCAGTCCAAAAATGTCTGGAGTCCCTACTCAGTGCCAGGAGTAAGGTAACCCAAGAAAAAATATATCATTAATTTATTTCAACAGGATGATGACTCTCTCAACTACAAACTTATTTAACAGTTTGGAAATGTAAGGCACAGTAAAATAGATTAATGTATATTTTAAAAGAACCCGATGATATAAAGTAACTCCATGGGAGCTCTGGGAAGTCCAGCATCTGGCATATCGCATAAACAGACACACGGATATTATGATGGATGTGCATTTCACTTCAGCTCACTCTCCAACACCTTTCAAACCAGAGTGAAAGCAGAGAGGAGGAGCAGGGGACGTCCTCCAGGATTTAATGCCCTGGCTTGAACCGATGGTCAATTCAGCGCTGCCCTATGTGTGGAGCCATGCCAAGCGTGACCTAGAGGAAGTGTCTATCTTTAAATAGTTGTGACTCACCCAGAACCCAAATAAGTATACAGGAGTTTTAAAATAATACAGAAACTATTTTTATTATTTTTAAAGCCAGCACAATGGCTTTCGGCATCACTATCCATTTCTAATACAAAACCGGATTAAATAAATATCATCCAATGTATAAATAGACCATGAAACAATTGTGAAGATAAAAAGATAATTCTTCCGTAAATAAAAAAAAATTAACTTTAAAAATTTTCTTTAGTGGTGAATCAAGAACGAATTCCTATACCACTTTAGAATCTGTCGATTATGATACAAATCTTGATTGAATACAAAAGTCTTCATGCTGTAAAAAGTGTTACACATAAAAAGATTAAACAGAAAAATCTCTCCTGACTGCCTATTGCTCCTGCCATTTATACTAATTTTCCTAGTTTAGTGCCTTCGCTGTCAGTCATCCATGTAAGGAACTGCCATGGTCTCTGTTAGGACGGGTGAGTGTGTGCTCATCCATGCACGGGAGTCTGAGGTGGGAATCAGTTCAGAGTGGGCGAGCCGCCCCACCCCCAGGACAAAGAACATGTCTCTCTAGGCATGTGAGGGCATCTCACCCACACGAAGCTCTGTGGCTCCCACTTTCTCCACAGTGAAGAAGATGCCAGCTCAGCGGCCTCCGGCGTATGACCTTTTCATTAGAATATGGTAAAGATGTAGAGGCCCCAAGTAGAGATACGACATTAAATTGGGTTATGTATGTAGGCACTTTTGAAATTTTACTCTAAAAGATCCAAAGTACCCACGTTACGCAAACACAGATTAAGTGACACAGAGAGAACTCTTCCTTCAGAAGTAACAGTTGCATAATCTCACCTCTGCCTCACTTACTTCCTGTGCAGTAGGTCTTGGAAAAGGGATAAATTCACAATGATCAACCCTTGGTTTAACTTCTTTTAGCGGGGGAAGGGCAAGATATTAATTTTGAAATAAGCTTCAGAAAAAAATGTAAGAAGCAGGCATGAGATAGAAATATTAACTAGAAAGCAGTTCTATGTATCTTACAAATTTCTTTTTAAAATGTTACACACATAAATCTTGAAATTAATGTACATGCCAAACTATTTTATCTTGAATATTATCAAAATAAATCTGTGTGATGATCATTTCATGTTAAAATGTGTATCCTAACGAGTTACAAATATTCTTCTAAAAAGAGAAAAACCCACAGCAAGAACAGAAATCCACTCCTACTTTAAAAAATCTTGTACCTGTGTGAACACATGCGTTTCCTGTAATAAATGTGATATAAGGGTTCAAAGGAAGACACAGAACACTAGCTATAATTTCAAAATTCAAGTTTCCTTAAAAAGTGACAATGGTGGAGTAGAAAGTATGCATGAGGGAACATTCCCTGGTTAAGTGCTGGACAAGCACAGGTGTTCCCTGTCCCACCAGAAGAACACAGCAAGATGAGGGCGGCGTTTGATGAACCTCCCACTGACCTGGCTGCAAGCTGGCAGAGGCAATGTCACAGGATTTCTTCTATTTAGATAATTTCTAAGCACCTCAAGTTTTTAAAAGGGGCAAAGGTAGAGCTTGGTGGGCGTGGGGTGGCATCTGAATCTGTATTTTTGAAAGAAGCTCTTTCTTTTCATCTGCCGCCGTTCCATGGAAACAAAGCCACTGGGACTCCACACACACTGCTTGCCTCCTGCTTCCTCAATGCCTGCAACTCAGCTTTATGTTCGGTATCTTTGCAAAGGCCATTCATTCTTTCAGCTTAAGTGCTTCACAGTTACCTGAGCACAAAAGCAGGATCAAGACACTTAGGAACTTTCCAAGGCTCCTAAATGACTGGGTGCTGCTGAACACGGCACCAAACGAAAGGGCACAGGAGCAGCTGCATAGGCCTGGGGTACTCACGGTTACAGAGCCACACCCTGATTTTTAAAGTCTGACACCTTTCTTGGGGACATTCTGGGGGTAAGCGCCTCCAAACTTCACAGAGGTGAAGGAAAATACCACTGAAGTTCTCTCTTAAAAGTATCTGAACTTGAAATTAACTTACATGCCAAACTATTTTATCTTAAATATTTTCAAACAAAAAAAAATTAATCACATATCCTAACTTCATTTTTTATTTATAGTTATTCCAAAGCAGATATGCTATGATGAGATAGTTCTAAAAATACAGTTCTTTATCCTCAAAACCCTGGTTATACGTGAGGCTAGAAATCTCTTTTCTAGAATTTTTAAAACAGCCAGTAAAATATAAAGATCAACCTGTACCCCACATAGATTCAAGTAAAATTATGTCCTTTCAAAACCTTATATTTTCAAGGAATGTTCTGCAAAAAAAGCATCTTTTATAATTAGGAAGTAAATCAAAATAATACATAAAATGTCTTATGTTTGCCTGCTAATAAATTCAGAGAAGACACAAAATTAAATTATTGATATTTTCTTTTTCTTTAACCAAAATAAAACTTGGCTCTAGATTCACCTGTTAAGGCCTTAAATAGTTAATTAACCAATACAATTCACCAAACTATGTTTTCTATACAATTAGGAATTAAACAACCCCTTTTAGAGCTGTCCTGAGATGACATTTAATGCTAAAATCCAAATAAATAACCCAGCAAGAACAAAAATTTAAAATTCCAGTAATTTAAACTTTGGGGATATTTGTTCACCAAAACTAATCAACATTTCTAAAATATTTCAATACAAAATTATAAAATAAAAAGTGCATTAAAAGCAGAACCTTCAAAACTCTAGCACAATTACAATTATTCTGAATATGCCAACTACAGGCAGGTTCACACACAGACATTCAAGGAAGGAAACCTCGGGATTGGTAAGTCCAGTATCACAAGAATAAGTCAAATAAGGCTTTTCTTTTTCTTAAAAAAATATACAATAGACAAAGCAGTTTGGAAAAGAAGTAATATTATTTAACAATTTTCTGACTTAAATATTTTCACATAACAAAAGTTTTCATATCACCATCAATAGTACTTATATACATATGCCAAAAGTGAGCAACAGCAAAAATCAAAAGACGCCCTTTCAAAATCACAGTAAAATGTCTACTTCTTTAGGAATCTGAAATGAGCTCCTCTCTTAATATTCAAAGTCCATACAATATTTATAATAAAACTACTCTCTTCTGAAACCAAGGAGGCAATGAGAGAAAATAAAGGCAATTATTTTTCAGGAAAAAAAATAAAACCCAGCTTTATATTACAATGAAAACGATATCCATTTATTAATAAAATGAATACAATACTGATCTGAAGTGCTCGTGGTGAGGTGAAACTCAGACACTCTTTCTGCAATTAGGACTAGTACTTATATTTACAAAATATACTGTTCAGCCACACAGAGGCCCATATATCTGTCTATGTACATATGTATTTATATATAGAACATATAAATAATTTCAAAGGAAAAATCAACATGAAGTAAAGAACCTTCCATCTTTGGAATGCTGTAGGAATGGTGTGGACGCACTCTGCCCAGCATGGGTGGGGTTTGGTTTGGGGCATGTTTAATGTGGCACCATTGACGATACTGAAGAATTCCCTGAAATCAAAAATACATCTGTTTATGCACAAAGAGAAAGTCATGGGGTTTTTATGGATTCTTAGCCATAAGCTACAAATATGCTTCTTATTTGTTGAGGTGGACAGGGCCACGGTTACCTGTTCCTAGCAGACAATTCTGTGATTTCCTACTTGCGATGTATGGCTTGTGCTTCTGCGATGATCTATCCCCTGTACCTGATCATAGATTGATGCAATAAGCATGTCATCAGCCCATGTGGACAGCTGAATCCTTACTTTTGGGTCAAGTTTACTCAAGTCCCTGTGTTGACACCCCAGATACTGCATTCTTGTAACTAATGATTAAATATTTGCCATGGAGAGAGAACTGGGCCAGCCATCTCTCAAGGTATCAGTTATAGCAACTTACGGTAGACTAAAAAGAGTCAATGTTTACTAATTTTCAAAATGCACAGAGAAAAGAGTGGAAAAAACTTCCCTGTGTGTTGGAACATTTTCTTCTGAACTTCATGCACCAATCTTACACTTGCTTTGTAAGCTATGCTTCTCATAACCGGAAGCGTGAAGGAAAATCTGACATACTTTTGCCATGTTAGCTTTTTTGTCTTTGCTAATACAAAGAAATCACACTACAATGATAGTAAGACTCAGTTAATTGCTTTGTGGACTAGACGCACTGGCCGCGGAGGAGACTGAGGAGGAAACTGCCCACCGTAGTACCTGAGTTCAGTGATTTGTAGACGAGAGAACAATGCGGTGACACTTTTCCCAGTTTTTTTCCTATGAGTCTCTGAAAGACAATGATTCTTTAGATAATTTTATAGCTAAAAAACTATTGTGGTAACGTTTTTAACACTTGAAGCTTTAAAACAGAGATTCCAAGTGCTTTGTTCTTCACAAAATGTAACTTCAGAAACGTTCTGAAAGGTGTACTTGCGACTCGCATCAGAAGACGTGGGTGAGGGTCTGCCACTCGCCCGCGGCCTCCTGCACCACCTCCTCCAGGTGGAGGGTCCGGCTCAGCTCCTCTCCGTCCTGCTCCGGGTGACCTGCAGGCTCCTGCAGAGCTCCTGTCAGGTGGACAAAGAAAACACAAGCAGGCTCAGACCTTCCAGAGTATGAAATGACTCCCATTTAAATAAAGACTTCTCGGTAAACAGACACAAGACATTTCTAAAGTTATTTGCTTTGCATTCCAATGGAAAAAGAATAATTTGAGCTGCAGGTGAAATAACTCTGTCGTCAGTAGTTAGTGTTATGTGAATATGATCACATACAGAGCACTAGTGATATGAGTGCACTCCCATGACGGCCACATTAACATAGCATCAGCAATGAGCAATGAATAACCAACACACATGATTTTTCTAACAGTAAGGAAAGTAGGAAGCACCACAGTGTAGATGTTAAAGAGAAAAATTACTCCTTTTTCCTTCCTCAAAAACTCCCCATAATATAATGTTCTGCCCTTGGGTTCCCTACATATCTAAATCTCAGCCACTGAACACTGAAAGATGTCAAGCTCCCTTCACAAAGTACAGCACTTCAAACAACCAAAGAACACCTGCAAGTCTCAAGGATCACACCACCACCTCCAACAACCAAATCGCAGATCTCAGACATCACACCACCTCCAACAACCAAATCACAAATCGCACAGATCATATCACTTCCAACAAATCACAGATCTCACGGACCACACCACCTCCAACAACCAATCATAAATCTCACAGATCACACCACTTCCAACAACCAAATCACATAGCTCAGAGCACACCACCTCCAACAACCAAATCACAGATCTCACAGATCACACAACCTCCAACAACAAATCATGTATCTCAGAGCACACCACCTCCAACAACCAAATCACAGATCTCAGAGCACACCACTTCCAAAAATCAAATTACAAATCTCACAGATCACACCACCTCCAACAATAAATCCCAGATCTCACCACCTCCAACAACCAAATCACATATCTCAGATAACACCACCTCCAACTACCAAATCACACCTGGAAAATGCATGGAGCGCACCAAGGGCTCCACTCAGACTTTAACATTTCTAACTCCTTGCATAGCTACTGCCACCCTCTGAAACCTAGGCTAGGGCATTTATTGTCATTCCTTCCTTAGAGATGGATGGTACTGCTAGATTCTGTGTGGGAAACATAGGTGGAAAAGAGACAGACAGGCAGTAGGATCACACCCCAACATCCATAATGGCATGAACGTGAGCGAATCAAGAGAAACCAGCGCCCACATGTCATCTGTGCCAGGTCAACAGGATGCAGACAGGAGCAGTTGGCGCAGATTCCTTTTGCTCTGTGCCCCTGAGCACCGAGACAGTGCCTGACCTGCATGCTGCAGGAAAAGGGGCTTCCAAACATGCAGTGAAGACAGACACAGAGATGCTATTCTGGGCCTTTGACTGCCCAGGTGCTGACAGCCTCTACAGAGAGCTCTGTCCAGTGAGAAACAAGCTGCTCAGAAATGCTGCACTTGCATAGGTTCTGAGCTGCCATTTTACTCCAATAAATTTCTGTGTCCTTGCCATAATAAATCAGAAATATAATCTAATCAAATTGTGTGTGTGTGTGTGTGTGTGTGTGTGTGTGTGTGTGTGTGTGTCTGTTAAGGGTGCAGTCCATAGCCAACTTCAACCACTAAGTATGAAAGTAGCAAAAGCACAGGCTTCCTTCCGGGACCACGGTTGGTGGGAGGCAGGACTCGACTGCAGCTCCGACTCAGACGGACAGAGCAACATTTGGAGGCTCGCATTGTGAATTTTTGCTCCAGAACAACCACAGGAATAAATCAGAAACCTGAGAGGACCCACAGATCCTCTGAAGGAAATGGATTGCTCCTGCAGGACCCAGGAGACATCCCAAGTACTGAGCCACAGCAAGACCAGCCCAAGGAGAGTCTTAGCTCAGATAGGCCCAGCCCAGCCCCCACCCAATGGTCCTTCCCTACCGACCCTGGTAGTGGAAGACAAAGGGTATATACTCTTGGGAGGTCCAGAGCCCTGCTCACCGCCTGTTCCTCACTACACTACCACAGCTGATGGTCTCTGGAAAGCACCACCTCCCACAGGAGGCCAGTGCATTAAACCACCAAACCTAAGAACCCTCACAGAGTCCACTTCACTCTCCTGCCACCTCCACCAAAACAGGTGCTGATATCCACAGCTGAGAGACCCACGGATGGTTCACATCACAGGACTCTGTGCAGACAACCCTCAGTACCAGCCTGGAGTTGGGTAGACTTGCTGGGTGTCTAGACCCAGAAGACAGACAACAATCACTACAGCGGGGTTCTCAGGGAGCCACAAGCACAGGAAAAAGGGGACAGTTCCACATCAAGAGAACACCCTGTGGGACAAAAGAATCTGAACAACAGCCCTCAGCCCTAGACCTTCTCTTTGACAGAGCCTACCGAAATGAAAAGGAACCAGAAAATCACTCTGGTAATATGACAAAACAAGGCTCTTTAACACCCCCAAAAGTCACACTAGTTTACCAGCAATGGATCCAAACCAAGAAGAAATCCCTGATTTACCTGAAAAAGAATTTAGGAAGTTAGTTATTAAGCTAATCAGGAAGGCACCAGAGAAAGGTGTAGCCCAAATTAAGGAAATCAAAAAAATGATACAAGAAGTGAAGAGAGAAATATTCAATGAAATTGATAGCATAAATAAGAAACAAGGAAAACTTCAGGAAACTACATACTTATAGAAATACAAAATGCTCTAGAAAGTCCTAGCAATAGAATAGAACAAGTAGAATAAAGAAATTCAGAGCCTGAAGACAAGGTCTTCAAGTTAACCCAATCCAACAACAAAGAAAAAACGGTAAGAAAATACAAAGCTTCCAAGAAGTCTGGGATTATGTTAAACAACCAAACCTCAGAATAATCGGCATTCCTGAGGAAGAAGAGAAATCTAAAAGTATGGAAAACATATTTGGGTTAATAATCGAGGAAAACTTCCCCAGCCTTGCTAAAGACCTAGATATCCAAATACAAGAAGCACAAAGAACACCTGGGAAATTCACTGCAAAAATATCATTGCTTAGATACACTCAGCAATAGCAGTTAAAAAAGACAAAGTGAGACATTATATAATCATAAAAGGCCTTGTCCAACAGGAAAATACCACAATCCTAAACATACGTGCACCTAACACTGGATCTCCCAAATTTATAAAACAATTACTAATACATTTAAGAAATGAGATAGACAGGAACACAATAATGGTGGGGGACTTCAATACTCCACTGACAGCAGTAGACAGGTCATCAAGAGAGAAAGTCAACAAAGAAACAATGGATTTAAACTATAGCTTGGAACAAATGAACTTAACAGATATATACAGAACATTCCATCCAACAACTGCAGAATATACATTCTGTGCAATGGCGTACGGAACTTTCTCCAAGACAGACTATATCATGGGCCACAAAATGAGCCTCAATAAATTTAAGAAAATTGAAATTATATCAAGGACTCTCTCAGACCACAGTGGAAAAAAACTGGAAATCAACTCCAAAAGGAATCTTCAAAACCATACAAATACATGAAAATTCTATAACCTGCTCCTGAATGATCATTGGGTGAAAAATGAAATCAAGATAGAAATTTAAAAATTATTTGAACTGAACAACAGTACTGATACAACCTATCAAAACCTCTGGGATACAGCAAAGGCAGTGCTAGGAGGAAAGTTTATAGCCCTAAATATCTACATCAAAAAGCCTAAAAGAGCACAGACAGACAATTTAAGGTCACACCTCAGGGAACTAAAGAAACAAGAACAAACCAAAACCAAACCCAGCAGAAGAAAGGAAATAACATAGTTCAGAGCAGAACTAAATGAAATTAAAACAAACAAACAAAAAACAAAAGATAAATAAACAAAAAGCTGGGTCTCTGAAAAGATAAGTAAAATTGATAGACCATTAGCAAGATTAACCAAGAAAAGGAGAAAGAAAATCCAAATAACCTCACTAAGAAACGAAACAGGAGATAATATAACTGACACCATGGATATATAAAAGATCATTCGAGGCTACTATGAATACCCTTACACACATAAACTAGAAAACCTAGAAGAGATGGATAAGTTCCTGGAAAGACACAACCCTCCTAGCTTAAATCAGGAAGAATCAGATACCCTGAACAGACCAATAACAAGCAGCAAGATTGAAATGGTAATTTTAAAAAATTACCAACCAAAAAAAAGTCCACAACCAGATGGAGTCACGGCAGAATTCTACCAGACTTTCGAAGAATTGGGACCAATCCTTTTGACACTATTCTACAAGACAGAGAAAAAGAGAGCCCTTCCTAAATCATTCCATGGAACCAGTATCACCCAAATACCAAAACCAGGAAAGAACATAACCAAAAAGAAAACTACAGACCAATATTCCTGAGTAACATAGATGCTAAAATCTTTAACAAAATATTAGCTAACTGAATCCAATAATATATCAAAAAGATAAACCACCATGATCAAGTGGGTTTCATACCAGGGATTCAGGAATGGTTTAACATATGCAAGTCAATAAATGTGATATACCACATAAACAGAATTAAAAACAAAAATCACATGATCATTTCTACAGATGCAGAAAAAGCATTTCACAAAATCCAGCATCACTTTATGATTAAAACTTGACATAAAAGGGACATACCTCAATAATAAATGACATCTATGACAAACACACAGCCAACATAATACTGAATGATGAAAAGTTGAAAGCATTCCCTCTGAGAACCCGAACAAGACAAGGATGCACACTCTCATCACACCTCTTCAACATAGTACTGGAAGTCCCAGCCAGAGCAATCAGACAAGAGAAAGAAATCAAGGCACCCAAATAGGTAAAGAGGAAATCACACTGTCGCTGTTTGCTGCTGATGATTGTTTACCTAGAAAACCCAAAGGATGGCCAGGTGCGTTGGCTCACATCTATAATCCCAGCACTTTGGGAGGCTGAGGTGGGTGAATCATGAGGTAAGGAGATCAGGACCATCCTGGCCAACATGGTGAAACCTCATCTCTATTAAAAATACAAAAATTAGCTGGGTGTGATGGCACATGCCTGCAATGCCAGCTACTCGGGAGGCTGAGGCACAAGAATAGCTTAAACTCAGGAGGTGGAGGTTTCAGTGTGTTGAGATTGTGCGATTGTACTCCAGCCTGGCGACAGAGCAAGACTCTGTCTCAAAAAGAAAAAAAAAAAGAAAGAAAGAAAGAAGAAAACCCAAAAGTGTCCTCCAGAAGACTCCTAGAACTGATAAAAGAATTCAGCAAAGTTTCCAAATACAAAATTAACGTCCACAAATCAGTAGCTCTTCTATACACCAACAGCAACCGAGCTAAGAATCAAATCAAGAACTCAACTCCTTTTACAATAGCTGCAAAAACAAACAAAAAACTTGGGAAAATACCTAACCAAGGACGTAACAGACCTCCACAAGGAAAACTACAAAACACTGCTGAAAGAAATCACAGACAACACAAACAAATGGAAACACATCCCACGCTCATGGTTGGGTAGAATCAATACCGTGAAAATGACCATACTGCCAAAAGTAATCTACAAATTCAACGCAATTCCCATCAAAATGCCACCATCATTCTTCACAGAATTAGAAAAAACAATTCTAAAATTCATATGGAACCAAAAAAAGACCCCACATAGCCAAAGGAAGACTAAACAAAAACAACAAATCCGGAAGCATCACATTACCTGATTTCAAACTATACTATAAGGTCATAGTGAACAAAACAGCATGGTACTGGTATAAAAATAGGCACACAGACCAATGGAACCGAATAGAGAACCCAGAAATAAACCCAAATACTTACAGCCAGCTGATCTTTGACAAGGCAAGCAAAAACACAAAATGGGGAAAGGACACCCTTTTCAATAAAAGGTGCTGAGATAATTGGCTAGCCACATGTAGGAAAATGAAACTGGATACCATCTCTCACCTTATACAAAAACCAACTCAAGATCGATTAAAGACCTAAGTCTAAGACCTGAGACTATAAAAATGCTAGAAGATAACATTGAAAAAACCCTTCTAGACATTGGCTTAGGCAAAAATTTCATGACCAAGAATGCAAAAGCAAATGCAATAAAAACAAAAATAAATAGCTGAAACTTCATTACACTAAAGAGCTTTTGCATGACAAAAGAAACAGTTGGCAGAGTGAACAGACAACACACCGAGTGGGAAGAAAATCTTCACAATCGATACATCTGACAAAGGACCAATATCCAGAATCTACGACGAATTCAAACTAATCAGCAAGAAAAAAACAATCCCATCAAAAAGTGGGCTAAAGACACAAATAGACAATTTTCACAAGAAGACATATAAATGGCCAGCAAACATATGAAAAAATGCTCAACATCACTAATGATCAGGAAAATGCAAATCAAAACTACAATGCAATGCCATCCTACTCCTACAAGAATGGCCATAATCAAAAAATCAAAAAACAGTACATGGTAGTGTGGATGCAGTGAACAGGGAACACTTCCATACTGCTGGTGGTAATGTAAACTGGCACAGCCACCCTGGAAAAGAGTGCAGAGATTCCTTAAAGAATTAGAAATGGAACTACCATTTGATCCGGCAATCCCACTACTAAGTATCTAGAGGAAAATAAGTCACTGTATAAAAAAGACATTTGCACATGCATGTTTATAGCAGCACAATTTGTGATTGCAAAAACAGGGAACCAACACAAATGCTCATCAGTCAACGGCTAGGTAAAGAAACTATGGTGTATATATATGATGAAAGACTACTCAGTCATAAAATGGAATGAATTAACAGCATTCACGGCAACCTGGATGACACTGGAGACCACTATTCTAAGTAAAGTAACAGGAATGGAAAACCAAACATCATATGTTTTCATAAGTGGAAGCTATGCTACAAGGATACAAAGGCATCAGAATGACACAATGGACTTTGGGGACTCAGGGGGAAAGGGTGGGAAGGGGTGAGGGATAAGACAACAAATAGGATGCAGTGTGTACTGCTTAGACGATGGGTGCACCAAAACCTTACAATCACCACTAAAGAACTTACTCATGTAACCAAACACTACCTGTTCCCCAACAACCTATGGAAATAAAAAAATTAAATAAAGCACAGGCTTCCAGTCCATACAACTGAGGCAGTGCCACGTGCACTGCACAATCACTGTGCGAACTGAAGGAAACAATGTATCCGCAACACACAGTGCATCTCAGGTAGCCAAACAGCATGCACTCCCAGGCGCGGCCTCCTCACCAGCATAGCTGTGCGCCCGCTTCATGTGCAGCTTCATGTTGCTCTTCTGTGTGAAGCCCATGACGCAGTAGGCGCACTTGTAGGGCCGCTCCCCCGTGTGCTTCTTCATGTGCACCTGCAGCGCGCTCTTCTGGTTGAAGGCTTTCTCACAAAGCGTGCAATGGAATGGCCGCTCCCCTGTGCAGAAACGGCACATGTCAATGTCTCTAAGAAGAGTGCAGGGGACGTCTGGGCTCAGCCCTGCGGTGTGAACAAGAGGGCCTGAAGGCTTCTCTTTTCTCTTAGGCTTTCAGCCTGGCTGTCGTCTGAACAAAGGGCTGGAGGAGCCATGGGGAGACCAGAGGGAGCCTGGCCCGCAGCAGATGGGGCGGAGGGACCAGAGAGCCTGCGGAAGCCCCGGCCCACGGTGAGTGGGTAGTCGTCAGATGATCACAACAGAAATGAGCCCAGGATGATGTGCTGTCAGGGCAGGGCGGAGACAGAAGGGCTGACGTGGAGCTATCATATCCCAGCCGAGAGGCAGAGAGATGGGAGAGCTTGTTTCTTTGTTCTGTGTTTTTTTTCTCTAAGACAAAAGGTTTGAGCAGATTTAGGTGGTGTAGGAAAAGCCAGTAGAGAAAAAAAGTTTTAAGACAGAAGAGGAAGACTAAAAATGAAGTTCCCCGGTGACTTGAGGACGTGGGACCCAGGCACAGGGGGCCGCCTGTCTGCTCTAGCAGGAGGGCAGGAGGAAGGTGACATGGTCAATATCCCAGACACGGCACGGGAGCCTTGCCTGATGCTTGTTTCCTATGGTCGTAATGTAAGCAGCAAAATCTTCCAGGTGAAAAGTTAGTTAAGATGACAAATAGGTCAAAAATAAGAGGAAACAAACATGTGGCCCCTGCTTTATAAACAAAGCATTACATCACTTGTGAATATTGTGCAGGTGGAATTCTGTTTCCTCACCCATGATGTCTACTTCAAGGAGTAAGGAAACCAGCACGTCCCTCCCCATTACCTGTGTGGATGCGGCTGTGGCGCTCCAGCTGGCTTGGTTTGGCAAACGCCTTCTCACAAGTGTCGCATTTAAACACTCTTGGCTTCTGGGAGCTCAAAGAGGGGCCGGCCTGGTGCGTCTGCATGTGCTCCTGGGAGACAACACACAGAAACCAAGAAACGAGATCAAAATGGAGTTTTAACAACTGGAAACAAGAGAGAGCAAATCACTGCAAAGTTCCCGTCAGTGGCAGGGATGTCAAAGGCTAATCTGTGATTTGTGTTCTTAAGGACTTTAATCCATCGGTAGTGACAAAAGGGTGACGGGCTAAGGGCTTCTCAGGGAGACCCTGGTCCCCATCTGAGCTTTACCACCTACTAGCTATGTGGCCCGGTCACATCTGTGTCCCAAATAGGGGTAGAAGCATCTCCTTCATCAGCTGTCACCAAGATTAACCAAGACCAAGGACATCAAGCCATGAGCCTAGTGCAGGAGTCCAGGTGAGCTCTCTCCATTGGCTTCGGGGGATCCTGTCCCCATTTCACATACGAGTCCACCCATGTGTTGTGGCCTGAGGCCACACATAGTTTGCTGCCCAAGGCCAGCTCTGTGAGGCCCTGCGGCGCCCAGCTGGGACGCATTCAGTGACTCTAACCCACAAGTCCTCACGGAATGCCCGTGATTCCTTGTATGTTCTTCCGGTGATATGACGACTGCCTCATGGTGGCTCATAGCCGGGACATGTTGTGACTGTAACCCACAAGTCCTCACGGAATGCCCGTGATTCCAAAGTGCGTTCTTCCGGTGATATGACGACTGCCTCATGGTGGCTCATAGCCGGGACATGTTGTGACTCTAACCCACAAGTCCTCACGGACTGCCCGTGATTCCTTGTATGTTCTTTTGTGATATGATGACTGCCTCACGGTGGCTCCAGAGGCTTCTAAACCAAGAGGAAACTGTTCCCTTCTCATGTTATGTGATTGGCAACAGAGATACTGCATTCACGTGATCACAAATTTCTGAAAGATCTGATAGCTGCCGTCCTTGCAGTCACCTGAGGATGTGTAATGTGGTTATTTCCCAAAATTTCACAAGCGTAATAACTATCCTGATAGAATCCCAGTCTTTAGAGCTAACCTCTACCCTTTAGGGCAGAAATCAGGGAAGGTACACGATTCCTGTGTTTGCGATGACCACCTCTGTTCCAGCTGTGTACATCGCACTGCTCAAGGCCCAGCACAGCCTGGGAGGTGGGGGAATGAAAGCTGCGGGGTAGGAAACGCAAACTTGGGAGGTGGGTGGGGGAGCCTCCCCAGCACCACAGGACCTGGCAGAGCCAGGACTGCAGGTGAGGCCCGACCATTGACTACACCGCCCCGGACGACACCAATCACCATCAACAGCTAGAGTGCATTCCTCCCCCACTCCGCCTGGGGTTTCCACCTGATCTGTGTTGGATGTAACTGCAGCCACACTGAGTGCTAAGCCTCCTGAGGATAGAGCCGCCTGTTTCTGGGACCATTGTCTTTGCATACAGCAGGTACTCACTGTCTGCTCAGCTGAAAGGAGGACAGAGAGAATCCATGGGGGACAGACTGTCTGGTGGGCTGAGAGGGAAAGCTTTTACAACCGTGGCTTCTGTGTCTCTGTCCACCAGAGAGAGAGACTTCCTGTGGTGGTAAAAGAGTACAGGCAGCTGTCACTCTATGCTGGTGGCTCTAAAAAAAATGCCGACGAGCTGCACTACTCGAAGGGAGCAGTTAGGCCTTACCCTGCAGCATAGGGCAGCTGGATGAAGTAGGGGTACTCCAGTTGGAGGAAGGAAGCATCTGGAGTTGCTGGCAAATGTCCCTGAAGGTGGCTCACAGCCAGGGACATCCTGTCTGCTCAGGCAATGTCCTCAGCATGAGGTTCAGGCAGTTCTGAAGTATTTATTGAATGAATGAATAAACTGAGCAAAGAGGGGAGAGGGCTTAGACTGCTCTTCTCCATCCTGGTGGCAGAGCCAGAAGCTCTGGTGGATGACACCCTCGGGGTGCAGCCCAAAGGGAGCAGAGAACAAGGGCAGGGTAGAGGGAGCCTGTGCGTGGTGGCCGCTTTTCTTTCTTACTCTGCAGCCCTGTACACTGCCTCGATTTTGAATTTTTACCATTTTATCATTACATGAAGCATGCCCATCCCCTCCTTTGACCACAGAAGGGGATTCGAACATTGCCTGGCTTGTCCCAGCTCTGTGGCCAGGGCCAGCCATGCCCCTCCTGATTTGAGCTCTTCTTGGACAGATGAGGCCACCTCCTTCACCATCTCCTCACATGGTCATCACCAAGCCTTTCTGTAGGTGCCACGGAGGAACCAAGAAGGCTCTGAGAGGCATGAGCAAGAGGCACCATCCTCTATTTGGGTGATTTGCATAAGAAAGAAGAACGGGAGTTTCCAGGAGGGTGGGAGACAGGGCCCAAGGGCTGGATCTGAGGGCCTGAGAGCAGCATGTGGGCTGCAGAGAGGAGGCAGTGACCCCGTCTCAAGAGCCTCACCAGACAGAGGCGTGTGGACCCACTGCTTCCAGCCAGGTAGTGGCACTGAAGAGTTTCCCATAGGGCCAGTGACACTGGACTAGCTGGGCAGAGCTGTGTAGAGACCAGAGGAATGGCCACCTTTCATATCTTAACTGGGCAGTCATGACGTCCTCATTTTAACCACTTTTTCACAGTGACCTGCTGGGCGGGCCCCCACCATGGACCCCTGAAGAAATGGACTCTAACTTTTAAACATAAGCCTACCTGTTTTCTTCCAATCCGATTCACTTTCCTTTCCCAGTCAGGGTGATCCTACTCATGGCCTTCTCTGAAAGTCTACAGGGTTTGCAGCTACGGTTTCATTCATCTTTTTGCCCATTTATGCAAAACGATGCATAAGCCGTGATTCTGTCTAGACAAAACTCAGATGCAATAGTCTAGCCAGAAGACAGAACGGTGCCCTGCCTGCCTGCGATGTGAAGACCAGGGTGCTGGAGAGTGCAGAAGGAGAAAAGTTCACTTCAAGTGGGTAAGATCAGCTCTCTTTATAAGTAATCCATGGGAACTAACAACCTCTCTGTGAGTGAGGAAGGAGTTTCAGAAATGCCCAAACTACATTCAGATTGACAAACAGCACAACTTCAGAAATGCCTTCAGATGTTTAAGTGGTCTGGTGGGTCACATTTTATTAGGTCTTAAGAAAGTTTCTCTTAAGAAAGAGAGAAGATAGGAACCTAGAGAAGGATCTTAGAAATGAGATTGGGCAGGTTTTTCAACTGAACTGTGAGAAACGGAACAGCACACAGGCATGCTATGTCATCTGAAATAGAATAATGCTGAACATCTGACCGTAACCTAGTTCTCCCTGGAACGTGTTCTTCAAGACAATGACAAGTGTCCCTCAAGAACGAACTTCATCATAAAGTAAGTCTGCCATCAGCTGGAGTTAATACATTCTTATTCTAACACCTGTCGGTCTGGTTCTGCTATAGCGAGTTGTGAATTTCTAAGAAGGGGCGGTGTTGTGCCCTGAAGTTGGTGGGGACTCAGCAGAGCCCAATGGCCATCAGCTCACCAGAAGGTGTGAAAAGGGAGAATCCCATTGCTAGTTGATTTTGCTGTGCAGAAGCTCTTCAGTTTAATTGGATCCAATTTGTCCACTTTTGCTTGTGTTGCAAGTGCTTCTTGCATCTTCGTCATCAAGTCTTTGCCTGTTCCTATGTCCAGAATGGTACTGTCTAGGTTGTCTTCCAGGGTTTTTATAGTTGTGGGTTTTACATTTAAGTCTTCAATCCATCTTGGAACAGAAAACCAAATACCACATGTTCTCACTAATAAGTGGGTGCTAAATGATGAGAACATGTGGGCCCACAGAGGGGAGCAATGCACACATGCAGGCGGCTCCTTGAGGAAGGAGGGAGAGGAGCAAGGAAATAAGTATTGGCTACTAAGCTTCATCCAGGGTGATAAAACAATCTGTACAACAAAACCCTGTGACCTGAGTCACCTATACAACAAACCTGCCCCTGTACCCCTGAACCGAAAGTAAAAGTAAAAAAAGAAAGAAGAACCCAAGCAGCCAAGTGACAGGCTTCCTTCAGGCACAGAGAGGGAGGAGTGAGGGTCTCAGGGCTCACCAGCCCCTGGAGGGACCCTGGGAGAGGAGCCACAGACAGGGCTGTCACCGCTGACACCACTGGTCTGCGATACATCCAATGCTGTGTGCTCTAATCCACACTCCAAAAAAGCCAGTCTGGTCACAGGGATACAAGGATTCCTGTTCCTGGGACAGGAATTTCTCCTTTGAGTAGGATTCTTCCTTCTTCCAGTCCTATACTCATTAAAAGACAACAAACACACTAAGGCCAAAGGCAATCCCGCCCCCAACATAAACAGGAGCCCCAAGGGTCCAGGCAACCATCTTCCCAGCGCAGCTTTCCTTCTCAGCCAGTGTGGCATAGCTCCGCCCTCTGTGCAGCCCGGGCACAGTTGGTCAGCAATTTTGCAGGCCATGCCTCACTTGGAATTTGTCTGTTTTTCTCATGTTATGGATGTTATGCAGCTTTTGGGAAAAGTGCCATTTTCATCCCACACTGCTAAGGACAGACGCCAGCTTGATGTGTGGGTGCTGATGGGGGCCCTGGCCACTGGGCTGGAGTGGTGCTGGCCAGGCACCCGTGCTGCACACTCCTCAGTGTTCCACCCTTCCGCACCCCATTCCCTTCACATGAAGACAGCGCCCTGGGCTGGATGTCAGAGCACCCGGTCACACGGCCCTGGGGGACCTCCAAATCGCCTGCTGGGGTTCTGCCTCCCCTCCACTACGGCACAACACCCTCCAGGGGGATGTCCCCAAATGCATCCTCTGCCTCCAACTCGTGGGTGCTCCAGTCCCCACTGTGTGATAGCTCTGCTGAGTGGACAGCGTGGGCAGCCAAACTTTGGGAGGCTGAAGGAGCATCTTCATGGTTGGTCCCCAGGGTGAGCACACGTGCATTTGTTAGGGCCGCCCAATGCCCCTACATAAAGTCCTACCAAGTGACAGTCTCCCCATCAATTACGTGAGCCAGCCTCTGTTTCCCCACAGCCTCGACAACAGGTGCTGACAGATTTTTACATTTTTGCCACTCTAACAAGGGAGACAGGGTGTTTCAATGCTCTTTCAATTTGTATTGGAAACTGACCATGACTTGCAGGCGAACACGTGATCTATTCATCTGCACAGCCAGCGGACCTCTTACAACCCAACAATACACCTACATCTCTTGACCTTTTCCTCAAAAACACACATACAGAGAAGCTTTTCAGATCTTGTCTTGCCATAGCTAGACTCCCGGCTGGTGTTAAATCTTAAGACTCTGCATCTCTAGCAGCCTGGGGATACACAGCTGCGCTGTGGCACGGTGGGCCTACCTTGAGGTGCGTGGCGCGCTTGAAGGCCTTCCTGCACACGGGGCAGCCGTGGATGCGCTCCCGGCCGTGCACCTCCTTGCTGTGGTGCATCAGCACCGCCGCCGATGAGAAGGCGCGGTCACATTCCAGGCACTGGTGGGCCCGGCCCTCCTTCTCTGGCTGGCTGCCCGGGGCCAGGTTTCCAGAGACGCCAGCTACCTGGAAAGGGCCAGAAATTCTGTGACTTTCCATGTACTCTACTGGACTTGTGCAGTCTGTGAACTGACACACGCCACGGTGATAACAAGGACATTCCTAGCACGGACACATTGAGCCCACATTGCATGTCCTAGTATCAGGGTAATTTCGCCAGAGGCACCTTCCACGCAATATGAGACCAGAATACACACTGTCCTGCAAGACTGAGACCACACAACAGCAGGTAATGAATGAGCTCTGGTGCCGCCTGACCAGGTGCAAATCCCAGCTCCAATGGGACGGTCCGGGCTACTCCAGGCTAAGTACTGAACCAGTCCGTGCTTGGTCCTCCTGAGAGAAACACCTACCTGCCAAGGGCTGCACAGTGCAGGCATTCACTAGATGCTTGCTGCTGGTAGTAGCTTTAGATAAGCAATTCTTAATAACAAAAAGTGTTTTTAACCTTTAATAGAATTAAATCATTTTTTCCAAACTGTGGATCACAACGAGTTAGGTTTTCAAATCACTTTAATGGGATGCCACCACCACTTGAAAAAATAATGAAAACAGTAGGAGGAATTTATTAAGCAGCCTTTTTTCTTTTCGATTTTTTTTTTCTTTTTTGAGATGGCGTCTTGCTCTTATTCCCCAGGCTGAAGTACAATGGCGCAGTCGCAGCTCCCAACAGCCTGAAACTCCTAGGATCAAGCAATCCTCCCACCTCAGCCCTCCCAAATACCTGGGATCACAGGTACTCACCACCTCACCATCATGCCCAGCTAATTTCCTAATTTTTTTGTACAGACAGGGTCTCCCTATGTTGCTCAGGTTGGTCTTAAAACTCCTGGACTCAAGGGATCCTCCTGCCTCAGTCTCCCAAGTGCTGGGATTAAAGGTATGAACCACTGCACCTGGCTGACTCAGCTTTTGTAAACAACAGATTTCAATTTTGCAGATGCAAATTTCTATGAGACAGCTTAACAAAACAATCACAATGAAAATTAACGAGATTGGTTAACATTTTTATTATTCCCAGTTTATCAAATACTTTTTCATTAATTTGGGAATATAATATAAGAAATAAATAAAAATTAAAGAAAAATACTTAAACAACAACAAAATATTTCTACAGGGTGCTATATTATTAATTGGTGCTGTAATAAAAAAAAAAGAATGAAATTGGAAAAAAGGAAACAAAAGAGAAGGATCAGAAAAGACATGGCTGCCATGTGAGATGCCTGGGACAGGAGTTATTCCATAGAATGACATCTGTGTCAGGTGCGTGTCTACACATGAGTATCTGTAGGTGTTATTCTATAATATGACACCTGTGTCAGGTGTGTGTCTACACATGAGTATCTGCAGGTGTTATTCTATAATATGACACCTGTGTCAGGTGTCTACATGTGAGTATCTGTAGGTGTTATTCTATAATATGACACCTGTGTCAGGTGTGTGTCTCCACATGAGTATCTGTAGGTGTTATTCTATAATATGACACCTGTGTCAGGTGTGTGTGTCTATGCGTGTCTGTAGGTGTTATTCTATAATATGACACCTGTGTCAGGTGTGTGTGTCTATGTGTGTCTGTAGGTGTTATTCTATAATATGACACCTGTGTCAGGTGTGTGTCTACACATGAGTATCTGTAAGTGTTATTCTATAATATGACACCTGTGTCAGGTGTGTGTGTCTCCACATGAGTATCTGTAGGTGTTATTCTATAATATGACACCTGTGTCAGGTGTGTGTGTCTCCACATGAGTATCTGTAAGTGTTATTCTATAATATGACACCTGTGTCAGGTGTGTGTGTCTATGCGTGTCTGTAGGTGTTATTCTATAATATGACACCTGTGTCAGGTGTCTACATGTGAGTATCTGTAGGTGTTATTCTATAATATAGCACCTGTGTCGGGTGCGTGTGTCTACACATGAGTATCTGTAGGTGTTATTCTATAATATGACACCTGTGTCAGGTGTGTGCATCTACACGTGAATATCTGTAGGTGTTATTCTATAATATGACATCTGTCAGGTGTGTATCTACACATGTCTGTGAGTGTAAACAAAAATGACAGAAACATGTGTGTTTCAGGTCACTGCATATAAATACATTCTATGTGTGTCAAAAAAGTCTGATAAGCACAGGAATAAATGACACTGAAGGCTGGTTCTGTAACTGCAGATAAATACATGCTGAAGAACATCAACTCAAGCAAAAACTTGTAGTTATGGAGCTGCCTCATGTCCTCCATCAGTATTGCCAAGTATCCCCCAGTAGTCATGGTGATGAACACACACAGAAAATTGTTTCTCACCCAAAAATTTTACTCATGAGATGTGAGAATTCATTAACTGGTCCAGATCATTCAAGAAAAGACAAACACACAAGACTTCAAAAACTATTTCTGCAAAATATTTTTCAGCATAACCACAGCAAAGCTTCCGAATCATTGCTACTACTGTGAAATATTCAATGTTCTCCTGAATTTCATAATTACACATATATGAAAATCTGGAAAGAGACTCAATTATATTAATAGAATATTGCTAAAATCATACTTCTCCAAAAGAGAAGGGGAAATCAGTGAGAGAATGAGTGTGAGGTGACTTTTCAGCCTGAAACATAAACTCGGCCACAGCTAGAAATCATCTCATCTGCTTCCCACAACAGTTATTCCATGTGGGGGCAGGAGGATAGAAGCGTGTATGAACACCACCTCCCAAGCATGAGGAGTGTGGCTTTTGGAAAGCAGAAGAGGGAGGAAAACAGCCTTACATCCACCTCCTAATGAGCCCAGAGAGACCCAGTGCTGATCCAATATTCTTTGTGTGCAGCGGCCAGCACTGGCAGGAACTTTAATGTTTGCTGAATTCAAACAAGGCAGCTTTCAGAGAAATACTATCCACAACACACACCTGGGCACATGATCAGCCTTCTGACCCCAAACCTCCCTCTAAAAACCTGCCCCTTACCAAATAGCCCAGCTGAGACCAGCTGAGCTCAAGTAACAGGAAATCCAGGTGTAAATGCTCAAAACGATATTCTTCTATTAAGACATGAAGAGTGGGGTAAGACAGATCTGGGTTCAAACGCCAGCTCTCTCTGCTGGCAGGATGACTGTAAGTTATTCAAAGCTACCCTTAAATCATAGATTCCTTATGAGTAAAATGGCCCTGACACTTAGACACCTCAAGGCTGTGGGGAGGGCTTGGCTACATAAGACCACACGCCCAGTGGGAGCCTGGCCTCAGACAGCTGGCCAGCCAGTGTCGTCTCTTTTCTCCAGCAAAACCAGCTTCAAAAGAAGGCCATGCCCCTGAAGCAGTGAGTGGAGGAGGAAAGGCAGTTTGCTGCAGCAGCTCCCCGCTGATGTAATAGCTTGAAGTTGCTAACCAAGTTAGGTCAGGTCTCTTAATCCTTACGGGAAGGGTCAGGTAGAAATTAGCTCATTCCTTTTTGTAAAGACAGGCTGAGTAAGGGGGCAGACTGTCAATGGCTCTCTTAGGATAAAGACGATTTTACATTGTAAGCACACACCTTGTCAGATCAGGATGGATTTCTCTTCAGATGAACCATGAAGAAAAAGATTTTTAAAAAGAAAAGCAACGATAGTTGCTCTAGGGACTTCACTAGAGAGTGGGGTGAGCCCCGGGCTGTAGCCGCTCCACCACCACCGGTAGTGTCCTCACCTGAGCACTTGCTTTGGGCCGAGACCTGTGCTCAGTGCCAGGGAACGTTATTTGCCCAAACTCTGACCACCATGAGGCAGTCCTAACTATGAGGGTTTTTTTTTTGAAGCACGAATTCGCTCTGTCACCCATGCTGGAGCGCAGTGGCGAGCACAACTCACTGCAGTCTCGAACTCCTGGGCTCAAACAGTCCTCCTGCCTCGGCCTCCTAAAGTGCTGGGATTACAGGTGTGAACTACTATGTCTGTCTTCAAAACAGGCCATCACACAGACCTAGGATTGCCTGAGATCTCTTGGCCAGAAAGCATGGGAGCAGGGATGTACACACATCACCAGAGGCTACAGCCAGCACTCCTGGCCACTCTACAGTGGGTTCAGATAAGCCCAGTGTGCTCAAACGGGTCCCAGCTTCCTCCCAGATGCACAGGCCACAGGCAGACCCAGGCATGGGTCTGAAGTCTCTGGTCAGTGCCCAGGTCAGAGCCTGGAAGCGCCCATGTGCATTCCATCTGTGTCAAGAGAGCATTAAGATGAAATTAGACAGTGATTAACACCAATTAATGTTGGCAAACAGTGCTACCACCTAACAAGGGAAATTTTCAGAAAACATCTAACAGAATTTCTCTCGATAATTCCAGACATGTCTTGTTTTCATTGAACTTTGCTTCTTTTTGCCCTTCATAGATACCATTTCATTTTTACAAACTGAAAGTCTGTGGCAGTGCTGCTTCGAGCAAGTCTCTCGGTGCTATTTTTCCAATGGCACATGCTCACTTCCTGCCTCTGTGTCACATTTTGGTAATTCTCGCAACATTTCAAACGTTTTCATTATAGTGCTATCTGTTACAGTAACCTGTGATCGGCGATCCTCGATGTTACTACTGTAATTGTTTGGGGCACCACAAACCCCGCCTACATAAAATGGCAAACAATCTACAAACGTTGTTTGTGTCTGGCTGCTTTATCGCCTGGCCATCCCACCTCTCCTTGGGCCTCCCTGTTCTCTGAGACACAACAATACTGGAGTTAGGCCAATTAATAAACCTCCGATGGCCTCTTAAGTGTTCAAGTGAAGGAAGAGTCACACAACCCTCACTTCCAAAGCTGGAAATGATTAAGCTTAATGAGGAAGGCATGGAGAGAGCTGAGGTAGGCTGAAAGTGCAGCCTCTTGTGTCAAACTATTAGCCAAGCTGTGAAATGAAGGAAACGTTCTTGAAGGAAATCAAGTGTTATCCAGTGAGCCCACGAATGATAAGAAAGTGAAACTGCCTTATTGCTGATAAGCCGAAAGTTTTAATGGCCTGGACAGATCAAAACAGCCACAACCTTCGCTTAAGTCAAAGCCTAAACCAGAGCAAGACTCTCTCTTCCACATTATGAAGTCTGAGAGCTGAGGAAGCTGCAGAAGGAAAGCTGGAAACCAACAGAGGTTGGTCCAGGAGAACTAAGGACAGAAGCCGCCTCTATAACATAATGTGCAAGGTGGAGCAGCAAGTGCCAATGGAGAAGCTGCAGCAAGTTCCCCAGAACATCTAGCCAGCATCTTCAATGAAGGTCACTTCACTGAACAACAGATTTTCAGTGCAGGCAGAACAGCCTTATAGTGGAAGAAGATGCCACCTAGGCCTTGCATAGCTATAGAAAAGTCAGTGTCTGTCTTCAAAGTACAGGCTGACTCTCCTGTGAGGGGCTAATGCAGCTGGTGACTTTAAGTTGAAGCCAGTGCTCATTTATCATTCCAAAATCCAAGAGCCCTTAAGAATGATGCTAAATCCATTCTTTCTGTGCTCTACAAATGAAACAATAAAGCCAGAATGACAGCATGTCTGTTTACACCATGGTTACTGAATATTTTAAGCCCACTGCTGAGACCTACTGGTCAGAAAAAGATGATTCCTTTCAAAATATTCCTGCTCATTGACAATGCACCTGCTCACCCAAGAGCTGTGATGGAGGTATACAGAGATGGATGTTGTTTTCATGTCTCGCTTCCAAAGTTTTCCTTTCATGAAACGGAAATCTTTTATGAAAGGAAGAATAGATGCAGTAAACTTCATTGTGTCTTATTTTAAGAAATTGCTATAGACACCCCAACCTTCAGCAACCATCACCTTCATTGGTCAGCAGCCATCAACATCAAGGCGAGAGCCTCCACCGGCAAAATGATTGCACTCCCTGAAGGCTCAGGTGATCGTCAGCATTTTTAACAATAAGGTATTTTTTTAGTTCACTTTTTAATTGCATTTTAGGTTTTGGGGTACATGTGAAGAACATGCAAGATTGTTGCATAGGTACACACATGGCAGTGTGGTTTGCTGCCTTCCTCCTCATCACCTATATCTGGCATTTCTCCCCATGTTATCCCTTCCCAACTCCCCAACCCCACTGTCCTTCCCCTATTTCCCCCCAACAGAACCCAGTGTGTAGTGCTCCCCTCCCCATGTCCATGTGTTCTCATTGTTCAACACCCACCTATGAGTGAGAACATGCAGTGTTTGATTTTCTGTTCTTGTGTCAGTTTGCTGAGAATGACGGTTGCCAGCTTCATCCATGTCCCTACAAAGGATACGAACTCATCGTTTTTGATGGCTGCACAGTATTCCATGGTATATATGTGCCACATTTTCCCTGTCTAGTCTATCATTGATGGGCATTTGGGTTGGTTTCAAGTCTTTGCTATTGTAAACAGGGCTGCAATGAACATTCGTGTGCATGTGTCCTTATAATAGAACAATTGATAATCCTTTGGATATATACCCAGTAATGGGATTGCTGGGTCAAATGAAATTTCTATTTCTAGGTCCTTGAGGAATCGCCACACTGTCTTCCACAATGGTTGAACTAATTTACGCTCCCACCAACAGTGTAAAAGTGTTCCTATTTCTCCACATCCTCTCCAGCATCTGTTGTCTCCAGATTTTTTAATGATCGCCATTCTGACTGGCGTGAGATGGTATCTCAATGTAGTTTTGATTTGCATTTCTCTAATGACCAGTGATGATGAGCACTTTTTCATATGTTTGTTGGCCTCATATGTGTCTTCTTTTGTAAAGTGTCTGTTCATATCCTTCGCCCACTTTTGAATAGGCGTGTTTTTTTTTTTCTTGTAAATCTGTTTTAGTTCTTTGTAGATTCTGGATATTAGCCCTTTGTCAGATGGGTAGATTGCAAAAAATTTTTTTCCCATTCTGTTGGTTGCCGATTCACTCTAATGACTGTTTCTTTTGCTGTGCAGAAGCTGTCGAGTTTGATTAGGTCCCATTTGTCTATTTTGGCTTTTGTTGCCAATGCTTTTGGTGTTTTGGTCATGAAGTCCTTGCCTACGCCTATGTCCTGAATGGTTTTGCCTAGATTTTCTTCTAGGGTTTTTATGGTGTTAGGTCTTATGCTTAAGACTTTAATCCATCTGGAGTTTAGCAATAAGGTATTTTTAAATCAAGGTATGTACATTAAAAAAAATAATAATAATGCTGGCTGGGCATGGTGGCTCATGCCTATAATCCCAGCACTTTGGAAGGCTGAGGTGGGCAGATCACTTGAGATCAGGAGTTCCAGACAAGTCTGGCCAACATGGCAAAACCCCATCTCTACTAAGAATACAAAAATTAGCCAGGTGTGGTGGTGCACACGTGTAATCCCAGCCACCTGGAAGGTTGAAACAGGAGTTAAAGTGAGCTGAGATTGCACCACTGCACTCCTTCCTGAGCGACAGAGTGAGACTCTGTCTCAAAAAAAAAAAAAAAAAAAAAAAAAAAAAAACACAATGCTGCTGAACACTGTTATTACAGTATAGTATAAACATAATGTTTATATGCCCTGGGAAACCAGCAAATTAGTATGACTTGCTTTGTTGTGATAATTGCTTTATTGCAAGCGTTAGTTACTCAGGTCAAATTTCAGGACATCCCCAGTGCTGGTTAAATCTCATTTCTTTGTGAAAAAGCCCTTGTCCTACTGAAAAGCCAGTAAGTTATTATTTTGAAAACTCATTTGCCAAAATGTTTAATGCTTCTTAAAATCAGAGATTATTCATCATCTGTGCTTTAATTTTCACCCTGGAAACTTTTAAGGGAAGAGTTTTTAGACTCTTCTATATTCAGACTATTGCTTACTAAATATTTTGCCCCTCCCCAAAACATGTAATAATTGTTTTATTGCAATGATCACAACAAAGCAAGAGGTCTAGAACTGACCCCAGGATATCTCTGAGGTAGGCCTGTATTCACTCATACAGATTAGTTATCTACTTCATTTTTATATTAACCTGTCAAATACTGAAAAAAAAAAATACAAGCTAGACCAAGTTTTAATATTTGATTTATCTCATTACCATCTACTACTCAAATAGAAGTTAAAATGGAATATATCACTTGAATGGGGACATTTCAAACTAATCTTAACATAGGATTACTCTACAAACATTATTCTAGCTATATGAAACCAAATGCTAAAATCATAATGTTAAAAAATAGCAAAGCAGTTTCATTTACTAGTCACATAAAATATAGGAATTAGGTAAGGTGTGCCTTGGAACTGAATTAGGAACTCTCTGAAACATACCAGACTAATAAGCTTTCACTACAAAGCATCATGAGAAAGGGAGCTTAAAAAGATGACCAAGATGCCAGTGCTTTTTCTGTCTAGATGAATGTGTGCAGTCAACAGTTACCTCACCAGGCCTGAGGTGCTCAAACCCTGCACACTCCATAGTGCCCTCGATCAGCTCCCGAGACATCCCCAATAAGCATCCTGTTATTTACAGATAAGAGAGTATTTTCAACCCCAGGACCCTGGGCAACGCCACACATTTTGTGCTGATGATGTGACTTATGGTGAAAGCCTATTTTTGTTTGTTTGAGGACCTGGGCCACTGCATCAGTTTGACCTGGAGAGGCAGGGACCTGGAGACTGCACAGGTAAGCCCAGTCATGCCCACATGACTGACCCAATACAATTCTGGATACCAGAGCTTAGCTGAGCTTCCCAAGTTGGTGCCACTTGACAGGTGCTGTCACACAACGTTCCTGGGAGAATCAGCAGTGTCCATGCAACCCCACTGGGAGAAGACACCAAGAAGCTTATACCTGGGTTCTCTGGACTCCCCCGCAATGTGCCTTTTCCTTCTGCTGGTTCTAATTTGCACCCTTCCACTGTAACCACAAGTATAAACCACAACCAAGAGTATATCAGATTTCTCTGAATCCAGTGAGACCTTGGAGTGTATCATCAAACCTGAGGGCGGTCTTGGGGACCCCAGACACAAATGTGTTAAAGTTACACAAACTGAAATTCAGTGGGAGGAGCTCTGGTTCCTCAGGCCAAATTGCAGGACATCCCCAGTGCTGGTTACATCTCACCTCGTCGTGAAAAAGCCCTTGTCCTACTGAAAAACCAGTAAGTCATTATTTTGAAAACTCATTTGCTAAAAATGTTTAATGCTTCCTATATTCAGAGATTATTCATCATCTGTGCTTTAATTCTGACCCTGAAACCTTTAAGAAGAGTTTTTAGATTCTTCTATATTTAGACTACTGCTTACTAAATGTTTTGGCCCCCAAAAACATGCATTTGAAGAAAAAAGGCTAGACAAATGACAAATAGGTCGTGTGCACGTGCACGCATACACGTATATTAAAATTAGATGACACTTAACAGAATCAGCAAAGGTGTTACTAGAAAATCTGCAGAAAGAACTGAGTGCAGTGGCTGGCTATGTGAGGTCTGATTGGTAGGCAAATATATTAAGATATTAATAAATTTAAAATTAGATCACTGGTGGCTACATCTAATTTTGTGGTACTAAAACCTCACTCGCTAAGAAACAAATAACAAAATGAATGAGATATTATACTCGTCATTTAACACATGCTCCGCAGAGCCTAAGTCCACTCAGGATTCAGCTGGGGGCACCTCAGAAGTCAGCCCCAGCCCCAGCCACCTGGGCCACACAGCAACCCCCTGACCCTCTACTACCTTCCCTTCTGAATCTGTTTAAAAAGCAATGAAAGCTCTGTGGATGAAGGAATGTCCCGTACCTGGTAGGCTATTTCTTCACACGCAGCAGATGCAGACTGTGGCGTGTGGCTCACTAGTATGACTTGTGGTGAGCCTGCTCCACCCTGGCCGGAGAGAGAGGGATCCGTGAGGAGTGCTGGGAACTGCTGACCCTGGCAAAAGATTCGTACTATTTCAGAAGTTGAAAATCAGCAAAACAAGTAATAATTTAAAAGATCTTTTATGGTGCAGCTGCCTTGGAAAACAAGCTGGTAGCTCCTAAAAAAGTGAACCACAGAGTCACCATGTGACCCAGCCACTGAGGAGAAGTGAAAACAGAGTCTTCTCAAAGCCTTGTACAGAAATGTCCACAGGAGAATTACCCACAGCCAAGAAACAGAAACATCCAAATGCCAATCAACTGATAAATGCACAAACAAAATGTGGTATAAGGGAATATTCTTTAGTAATAAGAAGGTACAGAGTTCTAGTACATGCTACAGCAATGGAGGAACCTTGGAAATACTCCACGGAATGAAAAAAGCCAGTCACACAAGACCACACGGATAATCATATTTCTATGAAATAGCCAGAATGGACACATCTACGGAGACAGAAAGTGGATCGGTGGTTGCCAGGGGCAGATGTAAGGGTAGGCCGGGGATGAGGGGAACATGGAGTGATGGCTCATGGCTCCATGCTTCTTTAACAGATGATGAAATGTTCTAAAATTAGATCATGGTGATGGTTGTACAACTCTGTAAATACACTGAAAACCATTCAGTTGTATACTTTAAATAAATGGGTAAACCTATATAAATTACATCTCAGAGTCTCTACATGTGTGTATGTATACAAAACACTTATTTGCTTAGAAACGCATATACAATTTTGCTATGCTATAGAAAACTACTGTAAATCTTTTTACCAGCCCAGCACACCTCTAGCTATGAGAGTGGATGAAGCAGCAGCTTAAAGGATCTGAATATCTACTGCAAATGCTGAATTGATGGAAATAATTCAGCATGCAACTTGATCTGCTGCAATCAGCACTGATTCTAAACATATTTTATACACAGTTAAAACCATGGCTGATGACAGGAGGCATGGCTGATGTTGCTGGCTCCTGTGCTTTAAGGAGAGGGCCGTTTCTCTATGTCTTGGGGAACTAACGAGCCCCTAACAGGCAAGTTAAGAATTGAGGAGGGGATGCTGTATCAGCCTGTCTTCACATTGCTGATAAAGACATGCCCGTCTTTATCAATTTACAATTTACAAAAGAAAGAGGTTTAATTGGACTTACAGTTCCCCGTGGCCGGGAAAACCTCACAGTCATGGAGGAAGGCAAGGAGGAGCAAGTCACGTCTTACATAGATGGCAGCAAGGAGAGGAGCGCTTGTGCAGGGAAACTCCCCTTTTTATAACCATCAGACCTCGTGAGACTTATTCACTATCATGAGACAGCACAGAAAAGACCCACCCCCATGTTTCAGTTACCTCCCACCAGGTAAGACAGGAGTCTTGCTCTGTCACCCAGGCTGGAGTGCAATGGTGCGATCTTGGCTCACCTCAACCTCCACCTCCTGGGTTCAAGCAATTCTCCTGCCTCAGCCTCCTGGGCAGCTGGGATTACAGATGCATGCCACCACGCCTAGCTAATTTGTTGTGTTTTCAGTAGAGATGAGGTTTCCCTATGTTGGTGGGGTTGGTCTTGAACTTCTGACCTCAAGTGATCCATTGCCTCAGCCTCCCAAAGTGCTAGGATTACAGGTGTGAGCCACTGCACTCGGCCAACCTTATGTATTCTTAATGCAAATTTCCTGCTTTAAAAATCAGTGTCCAATAAAATCTTCATTATAATTAATCATAATGTATCATCATAATTTTCCTAATTAAACTCTGCAAAGTTTTTTGGCATCTTAGCTCAAGGAATCATGTAAAAATGTACACCCCTTTGACACACAACTTCTACTGGTAGGAATTCATCTAAGAATCTCAGTGACTAAGGGCATGAAAATTTCCATACTACTTACTGAAAACATGAATACAACATAATGTTCCTCATGAAGTTCATCTACACAGTGTGTACCTGAACTTATTTCTGCAGAAATTTATAAATATGTACCTTATACACTCATATAAAGGTTTAGAAGAATATATATACACTAAAATGTTAACTGTGGTTCCATTTGGATAGCGGGATTAAAGCTTTGGGTTTTATGTTTTACCTTATTTTTTATATTCTTCTATATTATCTGAATTGTCTTTTATTTCCTTTTTACATTTAACATATTACTTTTTTAATCAGAAAAAAAAAAAAAAAGCCACTTCAAGTTCCAAAAAAAAAATGCTCAGAATCTATATTTAGGAAAGAGTAAATAAATGACTAATGTTTTTGAAGAT